ATGTGTTCGCTTGATATGTATATTTTTGCTGACAAAATTTATACAATGTATGTATTGTTATATAATAAAAAATGAAGAAGAATATGAACTTTCCGGACATCCCTCGTATATACTCGGAAACCATCTTCTTGATCGTCACCAGTTAATAAGCTGAAAAACATAATTTTATAGTTACGATCACTGCTTGATTATAAATAGAAATTGTATTTATATTACAATTATAAATGCATGCTTTAAATAGTAGAATGATAAGATCTCTGTGAACTGAAATAGCATTATACCTTTTATCTTTTTGTTGTACCTATCATGCATAGGACAGTATATTTTAACATAAAATTGTATGTTAACCAACAAATTTTTTTTGTTTCAAAAACGAACGACAGCACTGTGTTTTTGGAAATTTCACATTGTCAAAATTGCCCTTTTATTTAGAAAAAGAGACACAAATGTCTGTCAAAATAGTGCCATTCTATCCGGTTTGTGCGTTGTGTATTTATATGAATTGAATTTAGAAATAAAAATAAGAAGAATTTTTTTTTTTTTTGAAAGACGCTTCAATTGTCAGAAAGCTTATTTTCACTGAAATTTCAGCAAGTCCTCTTGTTGGTGGGCAACTAATCAGTCAAGTGATAGAACCAAATAAAGCAGCAAGTCTAGAAAACAGTCAACTTTCTAGTGAAGAGTTGAGCTTTAGCAATGGTCCGCTTCCCAGAAAAGAAGCAAGTCTTAGAACGGTCCTCTTCCTAGGAAAGAAGCAAGTCTTAGAACGGACTGCTTCCCAGAAAAGATTTTAGCAAATCTTGGAAAGGTCCGCTTCCCAGAAAAGAAGCAAGTCTTAGAACGGACTGCTTCCCAGGAAAGAAGCAAGTCTTAGAGAGGTTAACTTCCTAGAAACGAAGCAAGTCCAAGGAGCGCAGCAAGTCTAAGAACCGTAGCTTGTCCAATAGTGCAGCAAGTCCAATACTGCAGCAAGTCTTATACTACAGCATGTCCAGGGTGCAAGCAAGTGTAAGAAGTATAGCTAGTCCAATACTGCAGGAAGTCTTATAAAGCAGCAAGTCCAAGAAGAATTTGTTTTTTCTTCTTCTATAAACATATAAGAAAAAACGACCTCCTGGGGTGGGGCAAATTTTGACCCCAGGCTTTATTTGAATGAACCTCGTAGACACTCACTAGAAGATGTTTCATGCCAAATAAAACAAGCTCTAGCTCTTTGAATTTTTTAAAAGAAGATTTTTTTAAGTTTTATATTACGGTTGCCATGGCAACCAGATTTCTGCATGGAATTAAATTCTTTGAACAATTTTTAAAGGTGACCACTAACGGAACATTTCTATTAGCAGTTTATGAAGAGATGTTGTTAAAGTAAAAGTTTAAGGACTGACAGATGAATTTCGATCACAAAAGCTCACCTTGTCATTTTGTGACAGGTGAGCTAAAAAAACAAAACACCCTCCCCCCCCCCCCCTTCCATGAAACTTACGTGAACATTGCTCTGGTCCTCCTTGCCCAGTAAATCCTTCATTGCATGTGCATGTATAAGATTCTATTGCGTTCGTACAAGTTGCCAGAATGTCACATGGGTCGGTTGCACAATCATCAAAATCTAAAAAAAATTAAGTCTACTTTTTCAAACTTCATTTTAAACAAGAATGTATTTGTTAAACACATATGCCCCCTGTTAGACAGCACACTCACCTGTCATGAGTTCTCGCCTGGAAGTGTGTATGATGGTCACTAACAAGTATATAAAGTTTTAAGCAACACCTCAAAAAGTATAAAAAATAAGTGGGGCAGTATGAAAAACTAAACTGGATTTAAGTAAAACTAGAACTCCTTGAGTCGGATGTGTCGCCTTGTGAACAATATAGTTTAGGAGAAATGGCCAGGACAAAAATGAAATTTGAAAATCAACAAAGGGCAATAACTCAAAAAATAAGAAATGCAGAGCAGCAGTTTCTGTGCACTGCACTTCTAGCACTTCTTATCAATAAGATCTATCATCCTATTAAGTTTCAAGTCCAAAGCTTTTATAATTTATTAGAAATGGCCTGGACAAAAATAAAGTATGAAAATTAACAAAGGGCAATAACTCAAAAAATAAGAAATGCAGAGTACCAGTTCTTGTGCACTGCACTTCTTCTTAATGAGCTCTATCATCCTATGAAGTTTCAAGTCCATAGCTTTTATACTTTAGGAGAAATGGCCTGGACAAAAATAAAGTATGAAAATTAACAAAGGGCAATAACTCAAAAAAAATAAGAAATGCAGAGTACCAGTTCTTGTGCACTGCACTTCTTCTTAATGAGATCTATCATCCTATGAAGTTTCAAGTCCATAGATTTTATACTTTAGGAAAATGGCCCGGACAAAAATAAAGTATGAAAATTAACAAAGGGCAATAACTCAATAAATAAGAGGTGCAAAGTACCGGTTCTTGTGCACTGCACTTCGGGTCATTATAAGAAGCATGAATACCAAGTTTGAAGTCAATCCGACTTATAATGACTGACTTATGCTCTGGACAAGCTTAAGGGGACGCCGATAACGACGCCGCCGACAAAAGAAACCCCTATATGTCGCCTTTTTCAAGGCGACACAAAAAGGGGCATAATTTTGTCATTATCCTTGATAGAGTTATGTTCTCTTCTTTGGAAGTGGGGATAGTGATCATAAACAAGTATACAAAATTTCACGTTAAAACCTCAAAGGTATAGTAAAATAAAAGGCGTGGTACAAAAATTTTAGTTGAAAAACGGCATTGACAGAGTTATATCCTATTGCCTGGACATGTGGATGAAGGTCATTCACAAGTATATTAAATTTCAGAGCAGTACTTCAAAGATTATAGGAAATAATTGGGATGATAAGAAAAATTTAACAAAAATCAAAAATGTGCATGATATTGTCAAAATCTATGACAGAGTTATGTATCCTTGCCTGGAAGTGGGGAAGATAGCCCTTAACAAAAAACAGGGCATAATTATGTTAATATCCATGACAGAGTTAGGTTGTTTCACTTGGAAGTGGGGATGATATTAACTAACAAGTATACAAAATTTTAAAGCAACACCAGAAACAGTATAAGAAATAAGTGGGGTGGTACAAAAACTTACGTAAAAGTGTGCTTACCACTGACTGGAGGATTTCAAAGATCCAACATCAAGCTTCCCACATGCTGGAGGATTTCGAAGCTCCAGTATAATGCTAAACACAGACTGTAGAAATTCCAAGATCCAACATCAAGCTTACCCAAGACAGAAAATTCTTCAAGATCCAATGTCAAACTTACCACAAACTAAATATTTTTCCAGCATTTGACGTATTATTTACCACAGACTGAAGGATTTCCAGCATTCAATGTAATTCTAACCACAGACAGAAGGATTTCCAGCATTCAATGTAATACTAACCACAGACAGAAGGATTTCCAGCATTCAATGTAATACTAACCACAGACTGAAGGATTTCCAGCATTCAATGTAATACTTACCACAGACTGAAGGATTTCAAGCATTCAATGTAATACTAACCACAGACTGAAGGATTTCCAGCATTCAATGTAATTACTTGCCACAGACTGAAGGATTTCCAGCATTCAATGTAATACTAACCACAGACAGAAGGATGTCCAGCATTTAATGTAATATTTACCATAGACTGAAGGATTTCAAGCATTCAATGTAATAATTACCACAGCCTGAATGATTTCCAGCATTCAATGTAATTAATACTTACCACAGACTGAAGGATTTCCAGTATTTAATGTAATTAGTACTTACTACAGACTGAAGGATTTCCAGCATTCAATGAAATAAGTACTTACCACAGACTGAAGGATTTCCAGCATTCCACTTAATAAGTACTTACCACAGACTTAAGGATTTCCAGCATTCAATGTAATTACTTACCACAGACTGAAGGATTTCCAGCATTGAATGTAATACTAACCACAGACTGAAGGATTTCCAGCATTCAATGCAATACTAACCACAGACTGAAGGATTTCAAGCATTCAATGTAATACTTACCATAGACTGAAGGATTTCAAGCATTCAATGTAATAATTACCACAGCCTGAATGATTTCCAGCATTCAATGTAATTAATACTTACCACAGACTGAAGGATTTCCAGTATTTAATGTAATTAGTACTTACTACAGACTGAAGGGTTTCTAGCATTCAATGTTATTAGTACTTACCACAGACTGAAAGATTTCCAGCATTCCATTTAATTAGTACTTACCACAGACTGAAGGATTTCCAGCATTCAATGTAATACTAACCACAGACTGAAGGATTTCCAGCATTCAATATTAAAATTACCACAGCCTGAAGGATTTCAAGGATTCAATGTAATACTAACCATAGACTGAAGGATTTCCAGCATTCAATGTAATAATTACCACAGCCTGAAGGATTTCAAGCATTCAATGTAATATTTACCACAGACTGAAGGATTTCCAGCATTCAATGTAATAATTACCACAGCCTGAAGGATTTCAAGCATTCAATGTAATACTAACCACAGACTAAAGGATTTCCAGCATTGAATGTAATACTAACCACAGACTGAAGGATTTCCAGCATTCAATTTAATAAGTACTTACCACAGACTGAAGGATTTCCAGCATTCAATGTAATTAATACTTACCACAGACTGAAGGATTTCCAGCATTGAATGTAATACTAACCACAGACTGAAGGATTTCCAGCATTCAATGTAATTAATACTTACCACAGACTGAAGGATTTTCAGCATTCCATTTAATTAGTACTTACCACAGACTGAAGGATTTCCAGCATTCACTGTAATTAATACTTACCACAGACTGAAGGATTTCCAGCATTGAATGTAATACTAACCACAAACTGAAGGATTTCCAGCATTCAATGCAATAATTACAACAGCCTGAAGGATTTCAAGCATTCAATGTAATTAGTACTTACCACAGACTGAAGGATTTCCAGCATTCAATGTAATTAATACTTACCACATACTGAAGGATTTCCAGCACTGAATGTAATACTTACCACAGACTGAAGGATTTCCAGCATTCAATGTAATACTTACCACAGACTATTCAATGTAATTAATACTTACCACAGACTGAAGAATTTTTAAGCACTCAACATTATGCTATCCACAGATTAGATGAATTCCAGCATCAAATATATAATGCTTACCACAAATTGGAGGATCTCCAAAAAGAACGTAGCCCTCATTACAGGTACAAGCATAGCTACCTGGAGTGTCTGAACAAAATGCATTTGCACCACAAATGTCTGGGTCAATTGAACATTCATTAATGTCTGAAAACACAAAACAATATTAATATATTATCAAGTAAAATAGCTCTTATATATATCAAAATATATGATTAAATTTGAACCCATAAATGATCATTAAATTTGTCCTTAGACATATATTTACCATTGTCAAGGTAGATATTCCAAGTTAATTCATCTAAGACATATTGACAATAATTTGTTCTAAGATATCTAAAAATTAAATTAACCTAGGATAAACTAGAACTGCCACTATCATGGCGTGAATACCCCCGCATACCACTTTGTCAGAATCAACAGTGGCCATTTAGAGCTCAAGGACAACCTTCTTGCCAAATCTGAGATTACTAAGCCAGTGCATTGCTAAGTTATGTATTCTACATGCTTCAAATGTGAAAATGTCAAAATCAATACATTGCGGACAGGACATTCTTTAGCAATTGAGAAGAAAAGCTTTTTTTTGTCAAGGTCCCTGTGACCTTGACCTTTGACCCAGTGACCTCAAAATCAATAGGGGTCACCTTATAGTCATGATCAACATCCATGCCAAATATGCAGACTGTGGGTCAAAGGAATCTAAAGTTATTGGGCAGACAAACATTTTGAAGTCAAAGTCCCTGTGACCTTGACCTTTGACCTGGTGACCTCAAAATCAATAGGGGTCATCTACTAATCATGACTAACCTCCATGTCAAATATGAAGACTGTGGGTCAAAGGAATCTTAAGTTATTGGGCGGACAAGATTTTTGAAGTCAAGGCCCCTGTGACCTTGACCTTTGACCTGGTGACCTCAAAATCAATAGGGGTCATCTACTAATCATGACTAAACCTCCATGCCAAATATGAAGACTGTGGGTCAAAGGAATCTTAAGTTATTGGGGCGGACAAGCTTTTTTAAGTCAAGGCCCCTGTGACCTTGACCTTTGACCTGGTGACCTCAAAGTCAAATAGGGGTCATCTACTTATCATGACTAGCCTCCACGCCAAATATGAAGACTGTGGGTCAAAGGAATCTTAAGTTATTGGGCGGACAAGCTTTTTGAAGTCAAGGTCCTTGTGATTTGACCTTTGACCTGGTGACCTCAAAAGTCAATAGGGGTCATCTACTAATCATGACATGCCTCCATGCCAAATATGAAGACTGTGGGTCAAAGGAATCTTAAGTGATTGGGCGGACAAGCTTTTTTGAAGTCATGGCCCTGTGACCTTGACCTTTGACCCTGGTGACCTCAAAATCAATAGGGGTCATCTACTAATCATGACTTACCTCCATGCTAAATATGAAGACTGTGGGTCAAAGGAAATCTTATGTTATTGGGCGACAAGCTTATTGAAGTCAAGGCCCCTGTGACCTTGACCTTTGACCTAGTGACCTCAAAAATCAATAGGGGTCATCTACTTATCATGACTAATCTCCATGCGCAAAATATTACCACTGTAGTCAAAGGAATCTTAAGTTATTGGGCGACAAGCTTTTTTGAAGTCAAGGCCCCTGTGACCTTGACCTTTGACCTAGTGACCTCAAAATCAATAGGGGTCATCTAATAATCATGACTAACCTCCATGCCAAATATGAAGACTAAGGGTCAAAGGAATCTTAAGTTATTGGGCGGACAAGAAAAAACCGACGGACGGCCGGACGGACAAGCTGATTCCAGTATACCCCCCTTACAACTTTGTTGTGCGGGGGTATAATAATTAAAATCACTTAAAAGCATGAAATAAAAAGAAAATTTATAAATTTTGTTTTACATATAAGATTGAAATATATTTCATTCGTGAACACCAGCTATTATATTTTCACTCGTAGCTACGCCACTCGTGAAAATATTGCATCTGGTGTTCACTCAGTGAAATTATATTTCAATCTTACATGCAAAACAAACAAATATCCTCTATTTAATTTTTACCATTCATAATATTTCCAAAATGTTTTGAAATAATTTATTTTCATAATGCAAGAATATAAAAAGTAAATTTAAATTTCACAATTGGATTCATAACAGATAATAATACATGTATTGTTTTTAAGCAAACAGAATTAATACTCACTGTCACATGTCACACCATCTCCAGAATATCCCTCATTGCATGTACAGTTATAAGAATCCCCTACATTTGTACACTGTGCATTTACATTGCAGTCATTAAATTCGGAAGATATACAAAAATCTGTGACTGAAATAGAACAACAACAAAATGTAAGCCACGATGACCCTAAAATTCTCACTAAAATAACTGTTACACATAACTTACTAAAAATGCTAAAATCATGCAAAATGTACAAGATTTGTTAAAGATCCATTCATTGAGGTTAACCAGAAAACATCTACTTGTTTTTATTCTTTTTAATTCATTATTTAATTTATTGATGCTTTAGGATCCTATGATTGGCTATGAAGTCTTACTGAATCTAAATGAATGATTTCGAGAAAAGTCCATCAAAGATAAACAGTCTTAGATTAGAAATCATAAATAAAACTTAGCTGACTTAAAATTTTATTTATAAGGTAGTGTAGAAATAAACATATGACAAATCAAAAGATGTAATTTACTTTAAGAGGGACATGTACAGGAACAAAAACTGTAAGGAAAATTCCGTTAGTTTTGCGAAAGTTTCTTTCTATGAACAAATGCAAGGATGCCATATGGGAAGTTAGAAGTTGGATGCACTTAGTATGTTGGTGGTTTGATAGAATGTTGTTGGTGTTTTTTTTTGTTTTGTTTTTTTTAGAAAGGGGGGAGGGGGGAGGGGGCATTTATTTCTTGATGGTTTTACGTTGCATCAACCCAGGACACTTGAATGGAACCACCAACTTTCAATAACCTTATTGGACAGCATCTTCAATTGACAGAGGCAAAAATGATGTAAATGACAGATAATAAACAAACATAATTATCATTTATTACAGGTGCACGTCTCCCCTGAACCGCTAAATCCTTCTTTACATGTGCAGGTATAGCTTCCATTTGTATTTGTACATTCTGCATTTGCATCACAATTATTCAATTCTGGGACTGTACACTCATTTATGTCTGAAATTATAGAAATGAAGAAATAAGTGTAAATAAAGGAAAGGTATGCGAAACAGTAAAACTACCCAAGTAATGACACAGATGCACATCAAAGTCAGGCCTATGTTCACAAAGAAACAAAATGGTTTGGTAACAATTTTTCAAAAAAGGTTTACCCATTCACTCAGTTATGGACAGAAAAATTGCCAAAAAAATTGTAAACACAGTCATAATGTTTTGCTATTGTAAAAAATATAAGTTGGCATGTCAATGCTATTTGAAATAATAAAAGAAACATTTTACTTACAAATATTTTTTTTTTAAATATATATAAATGCATGACCTTGACCTTGAATCAAGCACCCCCAATTCCACTCAAATCTTAAGGACCAGCTGAGGCATATTCAATCTAAATTTGAGAAATTGGTAAAAATAATTGAAAGGGCTTTTAATAGTCTAAAAAGTGTATTTTATTTTTAAAAAAAAGAAAAAAAAACCTATTGTTAGCATGTGTGACCTTGAACTCCAGGGCGGGACAATCCAAGTTATGTTCCTTCCAAATATCAAAAAAATCATCAATAGATAAAGACTGTTAGATTAAGCAAATAGGTAAAGTAAACAATAAGAAATCTAATTTTGGCACCACTGAATTTGACCGACCTAATTCAATCCAAAGGAAGAAGACCGTGCAAGTTATCTTCCTACCAAATATGAAAAACATTTATCAATGAATAAGGGCTGTATTGGCATTAAGCATAAAAAATAAAATTGCACTAGTGACCTTGACTCAACTGACCCCTTGATCAATCTAAAAGGTTGAAGACCATGCAAGTTATCATCCTACCAAATATGAAAAACATCAGTCAATAAAAAAGGCTGTATAAGTAAAGGTTTAGAATTCTATTATTGGCACCCAAGACATTGATGCATTGACCCCAACACTTAGTTCCAAATATGAAAAACAAAAAAACATCTGTAAATAAATAAAGGCTGTACGGGCAAAAGTGTAAAAATTTATTTTTAGAACTGGTGACCTTGGTCTAAATAATCCCGGAATCCTTCCAAAGGTAGAAGACATCTGCCAAAACAAAAATGTTACACATAAAAAGATTAAAAATATATTTTTGGCACCCTTGACTTTGACCCAAATATCTAAAGGAAGGGATTTCCCTCGGCATGTCCGTGTTAAACATGATTGACATAAACTTAAAATTAAAGGCCTGCATGAACAACAAGAACTGTCGGAGGACAGTAACGCTCGACTATTCGAAAATTTGTCACAAGGGTGTTTCATTGAGTATAATAATGCTTACCTATATGAATACATAAAATTGTCCGAAAAAGTACAAACTCTTCAAGTTTCAATACATTCCCTTCAGTAGTTATGGAGAGACAAGCTTACATGCAAAAACTTTACCAAGAATTCATGAGTCGAAAAAGGGGCATAATTATGCAAAAAAAGCAAATCAGAGTTATGGGACTTGTGGCAATTATCTTAGATAATCACAGAGAACAAGTGTGTGAAGTTTCAATCCATTCCCTTCAGTAGTTATGGAGATACCAGCTTACACGCAAAAACTTAACCAAGAATTTCTAAGTCGAAAAAGGGGCATAATTATGTAAAAAAGCAAATCAGAGTTATGGGACTTGTGGCAATTATCTTAGATAATCACAGAGAACAAGTGTGTGAAGTTTCAATCCATTCCCTTCAGTAGTTATGGAGATACCAGCTTACACGCAAAAACTTAACCAAGAATTTCTAAGTCGAAAAAGGGGCATAATTATGTAAAAAAGCAAATCAGAGTTATGGGACTTGTGCCAATCATCTTAGATAATCACAGAGAACAAGTGTGTGAAGTTTCAATCAATTCCCTTCAGTAGTTATGGAGATAACAGCTTACATACAAAAACTTAACCAAGAATTTCTAAGTCGAAAAAGGGGCATAATTATGAAAAAAAGCAAATCAGAGTTATGGGACTTGTGCCAATCATCTTAGATAATCACAGAGAACAAGTGTGTGAAGTTTCAATCAATTCCCTTCAGTAGTTATGGAGATAACAGCTTACATACAAAAACTTAACCAAGAATTTCTAAGTCGAAAAAGGGGCATAATTATGAAAAAAAGCAAATCAAAGTTATGGGACTTGTGCCAATCATCTTAGATGATCACAGAGAACAAGTGTGTGAAGTTTCAATCCATTCCCTTCAGTAGTTATGGAGATACCAGCTTACATACAAAAACTTAACCAAGAATTTCTAAGTCGAAAAAGGGGCATAATTATAAAAAAAAGCAAATCAGAGTTATGGGACTTGTGCCAATCATCTTAGATAATCACAGAGAACAAGTGTGTGAAGTTTCAATCCATTCCCTTCATTAGTTATGGAGATACCAGCTTACATACAAAAACTTAACCAAGAATTTCTAAGTCGAAAAAGGGGCATAATTATGAAAAAAAGCAAATCAGAGTTATGGGACTTGTGCCAATCATCTTAGATAATCACAGAGAACAAGTGTGTGAAGTTTCAATCCATTCCCTTCAGTAGTTATGGAGATACCAGCTTACATACAAAAACTTAACCACAGGGACGCCGACGCCGACAAATGGGTGACTGCATTAGCTCGATTATTCTGCGAATAGTCGAGCTAAAAATGAATAAATCCAACTGACAGCTTCATAAGAAAATAGTGTCACTATACAATTATTGATGCATGTTGAATTCAGCAAGTATGTTTCATTGTTTTAAAGATAGCTTATGTTTCATTGTTTTAAAGATAGCTGGACAAAATTTAGAAAATGAAAGCTCACCATATTCACATGTGGGGCCGAAGAAGCCAGATCCTTCACAGTTACAACTCACTTTATATTCATAGTTTTCATAAACCAAAATACACTGATCTGGTGCGATGGCACAAGGACCTATAATTTAAAACAAACAAGTTTTAATACATTATAATTATTTTGATTCAAAATCACATTAAGTTTCTATTAGGTTTATTTGCTCAGATTAGCCCTTAATACAGGAAAGCCTTGGAACTACTTTAGGCACAAGTAAGGGGCCTATGTGACCTCTGTGGCCGAGTGGTTAAGGTTGTTGACTTCAAACCACTTGCCCCTCACTGTTGAGGGCTTGAATTCCAACATGGACTTTGGATTCTTTCATGTAAAGAAGCTATCCAGTGAGCTTATGGAATGACGGTGGTTTTACTCAGGTGCCTGCTTGTGCCTGAAATAATGAGATCTTCTTCCATCAGTTAAGCTGGAACGTCTCCATATGACCTACACTGTGTCAGTATGTGTGACTTAAAACCCAAACATACAAACAAACAGTCAGTCACAAGTAAAAATGTAGAATTTTCAGTAATGAACAAATGAGCTACATTCCTCCAGTAAACAAAATAGGACCACTAACAGTAATTCAGTTATTTTCTAAGTTAGACCATTTCCATTCTAGATAGTTTTCAAAACAAAATTCAACAAAAAGTTGTTTTCTATTTATCAGATTTTTTAAACAAATTGTAAGGAAGTCTGTACAAAAAGTCCCTAAAAATAAATATGAGTTTTGACTGCATCCACTTTCATATTTATATTTCATATTTATTTTTTACAAATATATGAAATATATATGACTGATATGTACCATATTTCATGGGTAAAATTAAATAAAATATTGAATTTATAATATGATACCCTAAGAATGATGTTATCTGGAACACTGCAAATGCGAGTTTTTTCCCCATCTAAGTCAGGGGTACAAACAAACTTAAACCAATGTTATAGCTTCACAATACATTCCTGAGAGAGTGATCAGTGGGTTAGGCTTATTATCTATATCTTAACCAAGTTGAAACTGTTAAAGTTTGTTTGTACCTGGAAATTAGACGAGAAAACCTACATTATTTGCTTAGTTGTAAAAATGAAGTTACTGGAAATACTTACATGGAAAGCATTTTGGCATATCAGAGGAACAGGTGAGGGCACAAAATTCCCCATCATCACAATCCTGGTCAATTGTTGAAACATATACAATTAACATTTGAGCCACACCATGACAAAACCAACATAGTGCATTTGCGACCAGTATGGATCCAGACCAGCCTGCACATTCGCACAGTCTGATCAGGCTCCATGCTGTTTGCTGTCAGTTTCTCTACTTATAATATGGTTTGTAGGCGAACAGCATGGATCCTGATCACACTGTGCAGATGCTCAGGCTGGTCTGGATCCATGCTGGTCTCAAACGCTCTATGATGGTTTTGTCATGGCGCAGCTCCAATTTTTAGCCTGCCAGCAGCAACAAACTCTATTTATGTGAACAGTGCAGACAAACTTCAGCCAGGCATAGAACACTGATAAAAACATATGAGAATGTTTCATTGTTGCAAGTTTTTTTAATATGTTTGACCCAGGGCACCATATAAAATTAGTTTACAGCAATGACAGCCTCAAGAATTTCATTATCCAAAATATAACATGTCAAATGAAATAACACTAGCATGTGAAAAGCATGACAAAACCGGTTTCTTTACACAAAAGAAAAAATTAACGAAAAACATAATTGACAAATCAGATATATAATTTTATGGAATAATAGCGCCAATGAACATTTTATGAGCATTAACATCTGCTAAAGTCCTCAGACTAATTAAATCTATCACCCTGCAGATTGCATAAATGCATCCTTGTGCTGGCCTGCAGATGTTAATGCACATAAAATGTACATTAACCCTCTGTGATAGTAAATTTAGTAACATATGCACCAAATATACAGTTCTTGGTCTTTGCTAATTATGATTTTAATATTTCGATACCTTAGAAATTCCTGAAATTAACATTGGACAGCTTGTCCTAATTCAACACAGGACAATGTCCATTATCAAAATAAAGCAGGAATAAAATGTGTATACAATTAATTGTCATGAACAGTTACGAGATGTCAAATCAAACCTTACTTGCATCACAACTGATCCATTCCTTGGTTTGTTGAAGCTTCTACTACTTGAACTTGACAATGATTTACCCTCCTTAAGAAATAACACAAATTTTATGGTGAATTTCGGGGAAAATGTATCAAATGCAAGTTTTCTACTCTAAAATTCGTTTCTTCCCAAGTATAGTAAAAGCTTTGCAAACTGGATTCTACCCGGAGCCCATTTTCAGAATTACCCAAAACATATATCAATTTAAAATACTAACTAGTTATCTGTAGTGCTTTCAATTCATGAAGATTTTACTTTTGAACCTGACACATATATATATACTATCCTTTTGAACTTCATTTTGGAACTTTTCTTTCCTCTCTCTCTTTTTGCAGAAATTGTAAATTTTCTGTTATATTAACAATTATATCACCTTCAGGGAGAAAACTATTTGTAAAATCTTTTTGAAAACTAATACACCTCCCCTGTTTCCTTCTTAAAACTCCTTACCCATTTACCCTTTCACAGCTCTTGTGAGAGATCGGGGAACTGTTTATCAAGGGTTTAGGGCAAAACTTGTCTATCTGCTTCTATTTCTATATAAAGATGGACCAGTTTTGCTCTAAGCCCTCATTATGGTTGTTTAAAAAACATTTAATCTATCCCTGCAATATATTCCCTCTTGCCCTTATCCACTAAGTCTTAATGTCAACCATATTCTGAGTGCTTTGACTTGAAACATGCAATAAGAAATGGTACAAATACAAGATGCTGAAACCAGTATGTTTCGCTATGTGTTAATTGCTTGTGATGGTAGAATCAGACCTTACAATACTTTAAGCAATAATATTAAAAATGTTGATGAAATACATTTTAGTAACTTCCAAAGGAGTGAAGCAGTTAAAAAGTGCAATCCACTATCAAGTTTTTATCAAAATGAAAACTTACACTTTTACTTTTACTCTTGCTTTTATGTTCTTTACTTGGTGATGCAGATCCTGATGAATTTGATGACTGACTGGTTCCCTGGATTGAATGAGGAATACGAGTATCAGAAATTAGTAAAATACATTTTTTATGTGTTAATATACATAAGTACACAAATCAAGTGGGTCTTAGATCACTCACCTGAGCAGTCTATTGCTAGACAGGGTAATTTCATACAAGGTAAAAGTTCAAATAGTTATGACCATTTAAAAATGGAGTGAAGCATGATGGCCCTGAGGTCGCTCACCTGTATATAGGCCCTCGGAGCGGGGCCAGTTTAAACCCCAGGGCTTTTATTTGAACAAACTTGGAACACCCATTAGAAGATGTTTCATGAGTTTCATAAGTTTCTACTACACACATAAAATGAAAAACAATGACCTCCTTCTTTCGCTCCCCCCACCACTGGCAGGGCCAATTTTAACCCAAGGGTTTTTATTTGAACAAACTTGGTAGACACCCATAAGATGTTTCATGCTAAACATCTAAGCTGTAGCTCATTGAGTTTTTAAAAGAAGATTTTTTAAGTTTTTACTATACACATATAGTTAAAAACAATGACACCCCTGGGGCGGGGTCAGTTTTGACCCCAGGGCTTTTATTTGAACAAAATTTGTAGACACTTACTAGAAGATGTTTCATGCTTAATATCTAAACTCTAGCTATTTGGGTTTTTTCAAAGAAGATTTTAAGTTTTTGCTATACACATAAAAGGAAAATCAATGATCCCCGGGGCAGTGCCAATTTTGACCCCAGGGCTTTTATTTGAACAAAATTTGTAGACACACACTAGAAGATGTTTCATGCTTAATATCTAAATCCTAGCTATTTGGGTTTTTTCAAAGAAGATTTTTTTAAGTTTTTGATAAACACATATAAGGAAAATCAATGACCCCTGGGGCAGGGGGCAATTTTGACCCCAGGGCTTTTATTTGAACAAACTTGGTAGACACCCATTAGAACATGTTTCATGCTAAATATCTTAGCTCTAGCTCTTTGAGTTCTTTAAAAGAAGATTTTTTAAGTTTTTACTATATGCATATAGGGAAAATCAATGACCCCCTGGGGCGGGGCTAATTTTGACCCCAGGGCTTTTATTTGAACAAATTTGGTAGACACTCATTAGAAGATGTTTCATGCTAAATATCTTAGCTCTAGCTCTTTGGGTTTTTTAAAAGAAGATTTTTTAAAGTTTTTACTATATGCATATAGGGAAAATCAATGACCCCCTGAGGCGGGGCCAATTTTGACGCCAGGGCTTTTATTTGAACAAACTTGGTAGACACTCACTAGAAGATGTTTCATGCCAAATATCTAAGCTCTAGCTCTTTGGGTTTTTTAGAAGAAGATAAAGTTTTTTCTTTCGGTTGCCATGGCAACTAGAGTTCTGCATGGAATTAAATTCTTTGAACAATTTTTAAAGGTGACCACCAAAGAAACATTCCTGTGAAGTTTGGATGAAATTGGCTTAGTGGTTTATGAGGAGATGTCATTTAAAGTAAAAGTTTACGGACGGACGGACGCCAGACGGATGCCGGACGAAAAGCGATCATAACAGCTCACCCTGTCACTTTGTGACAGGTGAGCTAAAAAATTCATATGATGACTTTAAACAAACAAGTGGGACATTGACATTGCATGAGAGAACTTATTCTTGTGTGCAACACTTGATCATCATTTTCAACACATTTATGCAAAGTTATTTTAACATCCATCCAGGAATTACTGGAAAAGACCATGTAACAATGAAAAATTCATGTGCTTAAAATGAAAATGCTATGATGAATAATTTAAGCAAAATATACCTTTCATGTGTGATAGTTAAAGGTGGTAGAATCAGACCTTACAATACTTTAAGCAATAATATTAAAAATGTTGATGAAATAACATTTTAGTAACTCCCAAAGGAGCGAAGCAGTAACTGTTAAAAAGTAAAATCTACTAACGAGTTTGATTTTTTATCAAAATGAAAACTTACACTTTTATATTTACTTGGTGATGCAGATCCTGATGAATTTGATGACTGACTGGTACCCTGGGTTGAAAGAGGAATACGGGTATCAGAAATTAGTAAAACACATTTTTATGTTTTAATATACATAAGTACACAAATCAAGTGGGCCTTAGATCACTCACCTGAGCAGGGGAAATTTCATACAAGGTCAAAGTTCAAATATGACCATTTAAAAATGGAGTGAAGCAATTAAAAAGTAGAGGTCCAAATTGGACAGCTACTATAAAGTAAGAATTCATAAACAGGTCGGTAGTCTAAGTTCAGGGTAATGCAATATGCAGCAAAATATTCCACAAACAAGACTATCTATAATTGTAGGACATACAGATTTGAAAATGCAAAAGTTATGGAAGTAGATCATGCAAAATTCAAGCTTATTTACATGAGATATCCTAATCTATTGAGTGTATAGCTTTTAAACAATCATTGCTTTTTGATACAATTTTGTTTGTTTTGTTTTGTTTTAAAAACTTTAACACAATCTAGGTACTATGGTGCCATTAAGATTTTTCAGCAATTGAGAAATGAAAAGCAGGAAAGTTGAAGAAGCAGTGGCAGGCTGTATAATGAATAGGATAGTCCAGTTGCACACACTGACATTCACAATTAACGCCAAAAAAAAGTGCAAAGCTGGTTTATGAGAGATATTCAATGATTGAAGTTTCAAGCTAATATTTCTGTTATTTTAAAATTCATCCAGGAATGACAAAATTGTTGACTAGACAAGACCTTTATGACACTTTAATAAAAAATTCAGATTATGAGTTTGGACATAGAAGTTTGACATTGACCTTGAGCTGGAGACCTCACACTATCAGGCAAGAACAGTTATCATTATGTCAATTAAGTTCTTAATCTATGCAAAAATTAAGACATTGGTGCATATTTATAAAAAAAATTCATATGATGACTTTAAACAAACAAGTGATACATATTGACCTTTGCATGAGAGAATTTATTCTTGTGTGCAACACTTTATCATCATTTTCAACACATTTATGCAAAGTTATTTTAATATCCATCCAGGAATAACTGGAAAAGACCATGTAGCAATGAAAAATTCATATCAGGATGTGCTTAAAATATAAATGAATAATTTAAACAAAATATATAGTTAAAGGCTCTACAAAAATGGTACCAACATTCTACTGATGATCTAGCTTCTTGTTAAAATCATTAGGAAATAATTACTTGTAGATATGGGTATATAATTGTCTAAAATATTAACAAATATACCAAGGATCGATGTAATACATGTATAATGCATACATGACAAGACTTGCTGATATTTTAATGTAGTATATGGTAAAATAACTAAATGGTACAACAGTATTACTGTTAAGTATATCTCATAGTACAGGCTTGGCCTATCCCAGCGTCGGTTACCCACAGTATATGTTTTGTACATACTAGATAATGTAGTATGTATGGAATATATACCGTGGGTTACCAACGATAGGGTCCTAAAAGGGTGCTGTTTTTTTAAAGATGTACCTGATTCAAAACATGAGTGAAACACTTACATCTTCATTCTCAGGGTGACACCTTAGGACTTGAAATCGTGACACTGACTTTGAAGATGAAGAATCAGTGCTTTTAGAAGATGTGCTTTTAGAAGATGACGTGTCAGAGCTACTAGAAGATGACTTGTCAGAGGTACTAGAAGATGTCTCTGTGTCTGTCTCTATGTCTGCATCGGAACTATTTGAACTGGGTTCTAAAGGTGGTAGTTCAACACTTCTTTTTCTCAATTTTGCTTCTTCTTTTACAATCATTTTTGTTTCTATTTCAAAGATGGTAAGGCAGGAAACCTGTTAAAAAGATGTGTAAAAATTATTGCTGTTATTTTGACAACTGTTCACTATGACACTTACTATAACAAGCTATTTGTAGTACTTCTTACAACTTTAAAATTACAACCAAAATGTACTCCATTACATTTAATTTAGTTTAAAATAGTACTGTCAAATTCACTTTAAAAAAACTAAATAAAATATCAGTATTTATAAAAGAAGCATTTTGTTTAAGTATGATATAAAAAATTGACATTAATAATCGAATTCCCTACATGTATTTAATTAACAGAAATTGTAATTGATTTAGATATGATAAAACTGAAAGTATCCATTTCATACTATAAATGCATTACTTCCACTTATCTGCCTGTTTTATGTATAATATTCTAAATAATTTCTTAATGTGAATTAATATCAAAACTAGCCGATAAAAAAAGCAAGACATCTGTGACTTAAATACTGATTCATCAATGACAACTCCTTAAATAAACTATAAGTAAAATTTATCTATTGTGACATTTTAAAATAATTTTAATCATTTTATTGGTAAGAATTTTATACAAACTTCGAACAGTAATGTTTTTTTTTTCTCTCACAAAGTAAGTTTTTCTTAAAATCTTTTTTATCATGATCACATCATCTAGCCTTGATCAGAAAGTTATTTCTTGGACATAGCAAAATGAAATGCAAAGGATTTCAGAAATTATTCTTTTTACTTTATATCTTATGTAATAATTTAAGAAATGCATCTGCTCACATAACATATGGACAAATTTGACTTCTATTAGAAAATTACTATTGATAGAAATTAAAATGATAAATACACCACAATATAATGTATAAAATTCTAAGATTATCTGTCATGCTGTTTTATACAGATTTTTAATTTAAATTATATTTTACTTTAATCATAATTTCATATAGATAATAAACAAGAACTGTCGGAGGACAGTATTGGCTCGACTATTCAAAAAGTTGTCACAAGGGTGTTTTATTGAGTATAATAATGCTAATTACCTATGAATACATAAAATTGACCAAAAATAATAAAAAATATGAACATCCCTGGTGTTCAGATGTGTAATTTTCTTTATACTTTTCTTATCAGAATTTTATCATATTTAGTGAAAATGTTATTCCATTATTTCACTAAAAAAAAACAAACAAAAACATCTTCTAATTATTTATTAAAAAATACTTGAAAAAATGTATTATTACATACTTTTCATAACCAAGATAGAAAAGAAACACTAGAATATTAGTAGATAATAATGAAACAATAATAATAATAATAATAATAATAATAATAATAATAACTGATAATAATAATAATAATAATAATTAATAATAATAATGATAATAATTGCTATAATTATAACACTTACCATCAAAAATATCAACAATTTTCCATCCATGATAATTTCTCGTTTTGTAACCACTCAGAGGCGAAGATTATAAGAGAATGTGATTAAAACCTGCAATCTTCTTCTTGTATTATAATATATGCAATTAAACATATGGTCTGATGTTTTTACCTTTTGTGGGTTTTATTCAATAATTACGAGTTGCATCATCTTTAAAAAAAACAAAAAAGAAAAAAACAAAAGTACAGCCTGTCAAGCCAGTGACAAAATCATTAAAATAAATGATGTAGAAAGTACAAATGGTTAACATACACTTACAAATGGTGCACAAGTACACAAAGACAATGATAAAATTTTCTTTTTTCCTTTAGAATTTTATAGCTATAGGAGTGTTTTAGAGTGTCAGAGTGTGTGGGCCTGGGTACATTATGTTCTTGTTACTATGGCACTGTAAAGCTTGAGGCAATGCATTGAATATCACCTGTAACGTCAAGTTGCGCATGTATATCACCAATCTGATCTTCTTGGCTATTATGCTTTGCAGAAGACCTCAATACAGTTTCCTTTTTAAAGTCAGACAAGATTCTTCTTTTTTTAGCTCTGGCTACCATATTGTGCATAAAAGCAGAACATGTTGGGGATATGCATATCAACGGTTGGTACTACACACTCCAGTGAAGTTTCATCAAAATCTCGCTAGCAGTTTGACCTCAAAGTTCTTCTATTTTAAGCTCTAGCAGCCCAACTTTATATAGTGAAGCTGAATGTGCTGGCGATATCCAAAACTAGGGCTTGTGCTGATCCCTTTGAAGTTTTGTCAAAATTCTGCCAGCAGTTTCACCTGTGAAAACCTGACTAGATTTCTCTATTTTCAGCTCTGGTGGCCATTTTGTGCAGCAAAGCAAACTGTGCAGGCAATATGTGGAACTAGGGTTGGTACTGATTACCATTGTGAAGTTTAGCAGAAATCTCGTCAGAAGTTTGATGGAATTTATTGTAAATGGATAGACGGCCAGACATCCTCATGAGAGGATATTCATTGGATACTTGTTTTATGTATAAAGTACGCATAAACACTATAATAATACCCATCAATGGGTATAATTATTCATACAGGGGTATATTCATACAGAATGAATAGAATTTACTGTCACCTATTGTTCTTGGTACCCAACAAGTGCCAGTCTTGCTTGCTCAGGGGACAGACAGACAAATGGCAAAAGCCAAAAACAACATGTTTCTCATAATTTTGAGAGACATATTTACTGTGTAAATTGGCTTGGAAAATTGTCATAAATCCAAAGACACATATTTTAAAGCTGCATAGCTCTGTAGATTCTATTATTTACAGTATTTTGTCTGACTAGCTCTGCTTAGTATGTTTTTACTTTTACAGAAATATGTCTGGTACTGTTACTCTGCATATTTTGTCAGGTATATTACATATTTGTCTTTATTTTTATTGATAATCAAAGAATCTATACTTTTACTGTAATCTTTAAAACTTTTTTACACTCTTAAATTTGTGGAATCCTGCAATTATAATTATTATGTTATAATGTTCAGAGCAAACAATGCTAATTACCAAAGAGTCTGCATATACATGCTAGCCTACTGCTGTACTGGTGACATAGGTCTACCATTAAACTTTAAAAGCCATCAACATTTTAAGAATAAAACCTATAGTAATCAATTATTTTCTTTAAATTTTATTTCCTTCATTATGATTATTTCTAATTTTATAAAAAGCAGTGATACTTCAAAAAATTTAACATTATAGGATCATTTTATAATCCACACAAGAAACATGGCAATGCCATGAAACCAGGTTTTCTATTATCACCATTGTAGATAAATATGTTGTAGTTGAAATACAAATACAAGCAACAAATTGTAACTATGTGCAATATAAATCATGAATAATGTAGGAGGAGTTGCACACAGAAGAAGAATTCACTATATATTCTGTATAAGGAAAAAAAAACAAAGGGCCATAATTAGGTCAAAAATTATCCAATCACAAAACCCGACAATATGCGCCAGGGCACTTGATGACAAAGCTTCTGTGAAAGTTTGGTTAAAATCCGTTGAGAAATGTAGGAGGAGTTGCGTACAGAAGAAATTGTTCACTATATATTCTGTGTAAGGAAAAAAAACAAAAGACCATAATTAGGTCAAATATTATCTAAATTCACAAAACCCCGACAATATGCACCAGGGCACTTGATAACAAAGCTTCTGTGAAAGTTTGGTCAAAATCCTTTAAGAAATGTAGGAGGAGTTGCGCACAAATGAATTGTTCACTATAATTATTCTGTTAAGGAAAAAAAACAAAGGGCCATAATTAGATCAAACATTATCCAATCACAAAACCCCGACAATATGCGCCAGGGCACTTGATGTCAAAGGTTCTGTGAAAGTTTGGTTAAAATCTGTTGAGAAATGTAGGAGGAGTTGCGCACAAATGAATTGTTCACTATATATTCTGTATAAGGAAAAAAAAACAAAGGGCCATAACTAGGTCTAATATTATCCAATCACAAAACCCGGAAAATATGCGCCAGGGCACTTGATGACAAAGGTTCCGCCGACATACCTCAATCTAATAACCAGTTTTTTCCTTCGGAAAACCTGGTTAAAAATTGCACTTTTCAGCCGTATGCATAATTATTACTAAAAGTACATCTTTCATATCAAAACTTTCCATATGAATATTTTTTGGATCACAGATGTTAAATGACTAATAAAATGTACGCCTACATTGTGGCCATAATTGTCAGCTAGATCAATATAATTTACATTAGGTTATGATTGCAATAATTTATCATAAAAATGTGTTGCATGTTAATCAGAAAGTGTCATGTGTTTTTCCTTGATTCAGAAAGAATTTTGTTTTTACCTTTGTCATGACACTACATTTCTAGGAAAGTCATATGAATCATATATCATATATCAAGCAGATATTATTCATACATTTTATGTATTTATCATACATTTAAAGTACATATTATGAAAGTTTATCAATTTTGAGCTTAATGGATTCTGGGTAACTGCATCATTTTCCACAAGGGACTAACAGGCACTACTAGTCTTAAGATTCAATATTATCCTGTCACTTGTATCAATGTCGGCCCGATAACAAGGTGCCGTATATTTTTACTGATCTACGGCACTTGATCACGTGGTATGCATAAATGGGCACCTGTTTGCCGGACTACTTTTCAAGAAAAAATATAATTATTATTATAATGTTGGACTTTATGTTTGGTGGTTAAATTTGTTTTCGCCTCAGAGTTTCATCATCATCATCATCATCATCATCTCAAGTGATTGCATCACTCCGCAAGGAGTATATAAAATTTCCAATAGAAACGTTCTTAAAAATACAGGCCGTTTCAGTGGTATGAAAAAAAATGTCGTTAAATCTTCTGTGTGTAGAATAACGAATTTTGGAAACGTCAATAAAACTTTGTTTGTTTATTTTTTTATTTCACTCTATAATTTTTCAAGCGAAATAAAAATTATTAAAAGTGAAATAAATGTAAAACTTAACTCCTTTGCTTCATTAAAATAGAAGTACTTGATTTGATTGTTTTGCACTTGCTGTTTTGGCGCTACATTTGACGTCACGTAAAAACCAAAGCT